GGGAGGGAGAGGGGGAGGAGAGGGGGAGGGAGAGGGGGAGGAGAGGGAGAGGAAGAGGGAGAGACACCTGAGTGGAGGATTTTGGACTTCCTTGGCCGAAGCTGTGGTTGCCGCAGTAAGAGCTGCCACCTTACAAACGCACCCTGGCCCTGGTCTGGCAGCCCGCTGAGGGGGATGGGAGTGGGCCTCCGGGTGCAAACCCTCCCTCCCTCGTTCTCCAGCTCCCCTCCTCCTCTTCCTCCACCCTCCCCCTCCCAGGCCCTTGGAGGAGAAGGTCACCCCAGGACTCTTCTTCACTGCGGGGACTCTGCCCTGGGGGCTCCGCCCCCATCTGCTTCCTCCCTCCCTTCTTCCCCTTCTCCCTCCCCTCCAAGTCCTCTCTGTCTGCTCCCTGCACCTGCTGCCCTCCGTAACCTCTATGCTCCCCACCCCTGGGATTGCGGCCCTGGCCATTCCCTAGTCACTCAAGCCCAGGCCTGGCCCCAGCCCTTGTGGATATTTTTCCAGCGCGCTGCGAAAATATGCCACCCGAGAAAGGAGTGGAAGGGTGGCCAAGGAGTCACAGAACAACCCCTATCCCTTCACTCCAATCACCACCCATACCATCACCAGGAAGCTCCCGAGTGGATCAAATGGCGCTGTCCTCTTTCCTGCCTTACAGGCCAGTGACAACATGGGCAGATCAGATGTTGTCGGAATGACACAGTACTGACAGGCCCGGCAGGAACCCAGGGCCCTCCTAGGAGGCAAGATTCATTTGTGTGTTTTTTTTTTTGTTTTTGTTGTTTTGCTTGGGTTGCTCTGAGGTACATTACTGGGCCCTGGGTGGCGGGAAGCCTTCTTTCTCCTGGGACAGAAATGCTTTTCCTGGTCGGAGGGTGATAACCATTCCCAAGTCACACAGGAAGCCAGGGGCCCTGAGCTTGGGCTCTCCCTTCTCAATCATCTCTCCTTCCTCAGCTGAGAGGCCCAGCAGGTTCACAGGTTGCTTCCTCTTCTTCCCCCTACACTGGGTAGTAAGTGGCAGTTTCACATATTTTCCCCAGGACAGTGACACAGCAGAAACTTGCTTGGTTGATGGATAGAGGAGACCCACCCCAGGGGGCAGCTACATGACAACTGGGGGACAAAATGCCCTTGCCTAGGAAGTGGGGGAAGGGCACCACTGCCAGTGATGAATTGTTGGTCACCGAGAGAAACTCACTGTGACACCCTACCCAAAGTCACCTTTGGGCCAGCCTTGAGTGACTGTGAAACAGCCTTCTTGATACACTAAGGCTTTGAAAGGCCCCCCCAGGAATCCAACTGTGAGACCTTAGGACCAGGACAAACCTGAAAATTCCTGAAACTTTAGGGGCAGGAAACTGCTTGATTTGTCCCCTGGCAGAGAGCTTTGCCTGCTGATTTGTGCACTCTGGCTCCTTTGCAGGTAACCACTAGAACAAGACATTGAATACAAATGAAGCCACCACCCCCAGCTCTGCCCCTGCAGTGTTTATGTTGGAAACTCCCCAAGCTGATGGTGGGAACACGGCAGGAAGAGGTTACACCTGCAGAGACCATTCCCTCCTCCTCCTCCTCCACCCAGTTTTTCTGGGTTTATTTAGAAGTTGCCTCATGGGGGAGTTCCCAGCAGGACAGGTACTAGGGGAAGGAGAGAACTTGGGGGTAGAAGGGCAAGGTCAGCAGGGAAGGATTGGAGATGGAAGAGGTGGCAGAATGTATGATAAGGAAAGTACGGAGTAAGGTTTGTCATCTTGCCTACTGTCTTTTTGCCCTTCTTATCCCCTCCCATTTCCCTTCCTCCTCCATTTTTTCTTCAAGGTCAAGTGCACCAATTCCTTTCTCTTCTTCAGTGACAGAGGAAAAGCATATGGGTAAAACTAACTGTGGAGAGAGGCACACAACTAAATAATTTAATTATTTTTTTTAGAGGAAAGGGAAAGGTGGAGGGAAAAAAAAAAGCTAAAATGTCAGCTCTCAAGGCCTTAGCAAATAACAGAGATAAGGGGAGCAATCCTACACAGACACTAGAATGAATAAATGAATGAATGAATGAATGAACCATTTATTTTTAGCCCTTACTATGTGCAAAGCAGTGTGCCAAGCACTGGGAACATCATGATAATTATAATAATAACTAACATTTGTATATCTCTTTAATGTTTGCAACTCTTTTACTTATGATATAGGTATTACAATTATTCTTTCCCTATCTTACAAGTGAGGAAACTGAGGCATAGATAGGTTAAGTGACCTGTCCATAGTTACATAGTTGATATCAACTTAAACCCAGATTTTCCAAGTTCTGTGCTCCTGCCATCTCTATGCATGATACTACTTGAGTTATTTTATTTAGATAATATACTTATTACATCTGCTATTGCTTTTGAACCTCATTACAACTCTATGAGGTAGGTACTCCCAAGTACTTGGGGGATGGGGAGCTGTCTAGACTTACTATTTCCTTTGTATTAGGAATTCTTTGTGAGAAACTCTACCACCGAGGCAGATCAACAGTCATCCTGTAATTTATAGTCTTAGAGAATTAGTTGCCTTGAGGTATGCAAGATGTTAATTTGTTTCCCAGGGTCACCCAACCAGTATGTGTAAGAATTGAGTGTAAGAAATGGATCCAGCTTGTAGAGGCCGTTCTGTATCCACTATGCCAAGCTGTTTTCTCATTTCCATTTTACAGATGAGGAAACTGAGTTAAGAAAGACTGTGACTTGTTCATGGTCACACAGCTAGGAAGTATCCTATTAGGTGGGATTTGAATATACATCTTCATAATACCAAGATACCACCATTCTAATAATTGGAAGGTCATTCATCTTGCAGAAAGGGTAAGTGATAGAAAACTACCTAGTTCTACCAACTACCTGAGAGAAATGATTATTAAATATTCTTTCTTTTTTTTTTCTTTTCTGGTGAGGCGACTGGGGTTGTAACTTGCCCAGGGTCACACAGCTAATAAGGGTCTGAGGCCAGATTTGAACTCAGGTCGTCCTGACTCCAGGCTGAGTGTTCTCTCCACTGTGCCACCTACCTGACCCAGATTTATCTATTTCTGAAACCTTCTCTCCACTAGGCCAAGCCAGCATCTGAAAGATATTGCTGATAATGAGATTGAATTAACTTTCTCATCAATCCTGTTCAGACCCTTCCCAGGTAGGGAAGACTCTTGTGTTCTACTGTTGGGATGAGGATCAATTCTTTGATTAGATTGCCCAAGGCTGGAAGTGATTTGGAAGTAAATGACAGGATCAAAGTCACTTCCCTCAGCCTTGGATTAGAATAGGTCCACCTCTCATTGTAATATTCATTCTCTCTCATTACTTGTTGCTACTTGTAGAAACATTCGCTCTTCCAAGGCACATAAGCATTGAATGGGTTCCATGAGGGGTCTTTGGCATTGGAGAGTGTCACTGACCCCTTTAATTAATTATATCCTAGCATGATTAATAAAATGATTAATTACCCAGAAATTGTCTCTTGAACTTTTTATACTGAGAGCATCTGCCCCTCCCACTTTAAATCCATTGCATCTTTGACCTTGCCCTCTCTTCCCCTTTTGAATAGTTCAACTATTTTGACCTTTCTGAAGAAATTCAGATCCTATTTCTTTTCCTCTTTGTGCAACCAATCAATAATCAATAGATGAATAAGCATTTCATAAGCACTGGAGTGGCTAGGAGGCATAGTGGATAGAGCACTCAGCCTGGAGTCAGAAAGACCTGAGTTCAGATGTAGCCTCAGACACTTACTAGCTATGTGACCCTGGGCAAGTCATTTAACCCTGTTTGCCTCAGTTTCCTCATCTGTAAAATGAGTTGGAGAAATTTAAAGTCCCTTCCTATCTTTCCAGTCTCCTCCTTTAATATATATGTATATGTGTGTGTGTGTGTGTATAATACACATACATATATATATATTATATTTTACCATATCCTGTATTTCATTATACTAGGTAATATACTTTACTACAATCTTTGGTGGTACTCCAAACCTCTCCAGTATCTTTGCCAAGAAAACCCTAAATGGGGTCACAAAACACAATTCAACAACAAACTATGTGCCAGGCCCTGAGCTGAGTGCTGGAGATGTAAAGACAAAAGCAATGTTTTTGTCTTCAAGGAGCTGACATTTGAATGAAGGGAGAAAAGAACATATAAATAACGATGTACATATAAGATATATGGAGTATAAAGGATAGGTAATCTCAGGGGGAAGGCACTAGAAGCTGGGGAAGACCTGAGGAAAGTGGGATTTGAGCTGAATCTTGAAGGAAGCCAGAGAACCAAAGAGATAGGTGAGGAGGGACAGTATTCCAGGCATGGATAATAGTCATTGGAAAGGCAAGGAGATGGGAGGTAAAATATAGTGAATGAAGAGGCCAGCATAGCTGAACAAAAGAGTGTTTGGAGGAATCTGGAAGATAGGAAGGGCCAGGTTACAAAGGGCTTTCAATGTGGACCAGAAGAATTTACATTTGATCCTAGAAGTGATAGGGAGCTGAAGTTTATTAAGGAGTCTGGAATGACATGATTAGACCTAGGCTTTAAGGAAATCGCCTTAGCAACTTTGTGGAAAATGGTGTGGAGTGAGGAGAGATTGGAGGAAGGGACAGCAGTTAGAAATCTATTGTAGCA